TTGTTATCAAAAGAAATACACACCTCGAATAGAATATATACCTAAAAATCCAAATAAAAATTATTCAAAGGTGCATAGAAGAGAAATACATATCAGTTCACAAATTTTTGTTAATAGAAAATAGAGAAATATATAAAGAACTTCAAAACACATGAAATATAATAATAAGTCATATGAAAATTTACATACAAACTATGAAGATATCATTGAAAAGTTTGTAAAAACAATAATAAAAGTAATTATATTAAATCATAAACTAAATTTAGATTTATTTTCTAGTTTGAGCTTTTTTTCTTACACAACTTGAATTATCTCAACCTTTAGAAAAGATCCAAAATCTTGACCTATCACCTCAACTATATAGGAATTTTTAAGGGAAAGAATGATTATGTTTGGAGGGTGATGTACACTATATCTAAATATAAAAAATATTTAGCCTACGATGGATACATTTGAGATATTGCATATTTATATCCACAAGTGCGGGTCTTCGACTATCTTTTAACAATTATACTCAATTTTGTCGTGGATTTATAGAGTAGGGGTCTTTGACCAAATTTTTTATTAATACACTCTTTTTGCTTGATGTTTTATAGCATACATGTACATTTGTACATGAAAAGTAATATTGAGTTGTATTCAAGTATAAAAATTGAGCTTAAAATCTGTTTGATATATTCAAAAATACTTTATGACCATCATATAAAAACCTTTATTTCTACTTCTACAAAACTAAACATGATAAGATTATACTAAGATGTGAAAAATAATATGAAGAATATCATAAATTATCATGTTTTTTCAATCAAATATGTAAAACTTTGTGTGCACATATAATATAGATAGATTGTGAAAAAATGTATGAACCAATATGATAAAACTTAGGCCTATATACCAATAGATAACCTTATCTAAATATTTTATGTAAAAGTATATACATAGGTAGGTTCTGATTTTTTATTTATAAAAAATAAAAAATAAAGAAAAAGAAAATTTTGTTTTTCTTTTGATTTTCATAAGAAAAGAAAATAAAGAAAGAGAGATTTTTATTTTCTTTTTGATTTTTCGTAAGGAAATAAAAAATAAAGAATAAAAAAAATTATTTGTTTTTGATATATGAAAATAAAAAAATAAAAAAACTACCAAATCTAAAATATATACATACAACAGAGCAGATGATCATGCATATAAATACTAACTAAATATATATGAAGTGAGCGCAAATAGTTAGTATATACCATTGTATCTCATCATGCATCTAAATATACATGAAGTAAGGGTTATAGAATATACCTAAAACTTACCCTTCTAAGAAGATAATATAAGATATATATCAAATCTATATCTTATCATATCTTTGCAAACCAATGATTAGATTTTGATGATCTGAACTTACAAGCAATCACTGTGTCTTGCCTCAATCCTTTGTCAACCTGTAAACCTATAGAAAGGAAGATAATTGCGACTAGGTATCCACTTTCATATAAGTCCATGTTGGTTAGTAATAAGCATTTCGGTACCCAAATCAGTTTGACTATTTTGATCCTATATCTCATACAACAACTCATAGAAACATATCCAATTTTTTCACATAAAGAGCATATAGAACGATAAATTTCGTTAGGAATAGGATCAAAACAACCAAGATTATTATCCTTTAGAAAAGAAGGTTGAAACATTTTATATTTTTTAGAAAATAAAAAACCAAGTCCAATTTAGCTTTTATATATCATTAATTAGAAAGGACCATGTTAAGACCTTTTGAGCATAAAGAAAAGTTATTCATGGCCTTTTCCAAATCACTAAATTTAGACTTTAGTTGTTCATTTTCAAAATAATCATTGTGCATCGAGTTTCAAACTTAATTTGTTTAGCTCACATATCACAATATAACTCATTTATCTCAGCAACCTTTTTTTGGTCACGTTGATTGTTCTTAAGTTGATTAGATAAACAAAAGATTTGATTTTGTAGCTCAGAATATTGTGTGCACATGAAAGAGGTGATATCATAAGATGAATTATCTAAATTCAAATTTAAAGAAAAAAATTTCACTTTCTTTGGCAAAAACTTATTTTCTTTCTTTAAATTTATATTCATCTTTTTTATTACTTTATTTTTTTAGTAATTTTCTCAATGTGAACGAACATCTCCTTATATTTAGAATATAACTCGTCATGTGAAGGATATATCTCTTCATCTGAGCTTTTACTATCAGAGACACTGAAATACCTTAATCTAAATATGAAAATATTATATTTTTTTCTCATAAGACATGCATATGCTCTTTTGTCATCATAGCTCGAGCTACTTTCTGAGTCATCCCAAGAAGTTGCTTTGGAACTTTTGTTATTCCCTTTATAGTCTTTTTTATTCATGAGCAATTCTTCTTTAAGTGATCGGATTTCCTACGTCGAAAATAGATTAAATTAGTATCTAAATCATTCGAATTATAATTACTTACCTTGCTTGTATAGTTATTCTGTTTGGCGTGCAAGTATTTTTGACCATCCTTTGAGTTGAGGAAAGATTTGTAGCCTTTACAAATTGATAGTCATTGTCTTCAGTACTCGAGCTTTATTCCTTCTTTTTCTTTAGTTGGGGTTTCTCTTTCTTTGCACGTAAGGCTAACAATTTCTTCTTTGAATCTTTTTTTGAGGAATCTTCTCTCTCTCTTTCAATTGGACTTCATAGGTGATGAGATTGTCTACAAGTTCATCAAGAATAAGTTTAAAAATATTCTAAAGTTATTCTATTGCCGTTATCTTTGGTTCTAATTCCCGAGAAATAGAACATAATAGTTTTATACAAAGCTCCTTGTTATCATACTCTTTTCTAGCACTCTTGACTGTTCATGATATTGGTGAATCTTGTGATAATCTCATTTTTGATCTTAGGAGCCTTCATCTTGAAGTTCTCATACTTGCTCGTCAGCATAGCAAGCTTAACCTCTTTAACCTACGAAGTTTCTTCGTATGTAACTTCTAATGTTTTTTAAATTTCCTACATAATAAAACAACTAGAAACACAGTTAAATTCTTCAACAGTAAGAGAGCAATATAATCATTCATGGCCTTTGTATTATAAGAGTAAATTTGTTTATGTTGTAGAGTCCACTTATCCTTAGTTAGAACAACTATAATACCATCTAACTCAGTAGTAGGTTCCTTACACTCATATTCTACACTGACTAAGCATCTCTACCGTAGGTTGTGATGCCTATAGTTAGGTAACGAGACTCTGATACCACTTTTAGGAAACAGAATGCAAGCCTAGAGGGGGTGAATATAATTGCTAAAAAATTTCAAATAATTTCAAAATATGCAACGACAATAAATTATGAGAAAAACTGAAAGTAACCAACACAGGTACACATGAGATTTTTATAGTAGTTTAAATTAAAATTTTGCATCCACTCTTCCTTATCGTGAAGGGTCTTCTTCACTATGACTGAAGTTCTTCTTGAATCACAACCCAACTCAATAGGCTTTACAAACAGGAATCTAGATACTATCTGAAACTAGTTGAGATACCAACTCCTCACTATGACCAGAAGAAAGCTAGCTCTAACTAGCTACACTCAATTACCCTGGCTTGAACATGCCAACCTTCAATTACCTCAGCTTGAGTACACCTTCAAACTCACAAGTTTGAAACACAAAACCAACTCAAAACAATTAAAGCACAACTACAAAAATCTTATAGCCCTTTTATCAAACCGTCCTTCAAATTGGTTGAAGTGTGGACTTGGAAGAACGATGATGACGATGAAGTCTAAGGGCAGCACTCCTCGAAGGTTGACGATCAGATGATGAAGAACGACGACGAGAGGATGCGATTGATAAGGGTTTGGGGGATAAAAAAGCTCTCTTTGTTCTCAAAACTCAAACCATAGACCGCCTCCAATTACTAATAACCGACTCTTGCCAACCATTGGACGATAATTTGTCATTACAGCTGGTCAAGCAATAGCAAACACGAAAGGTAACCACCTTTCTTCTCCATAAAATACCCTCCCCCTTCTGCAAAAAATACCCTCCCGTTAGCCCACCCAAAGTGTGAGTTTTTAAATCTGAAAAAACCCGCAATAATCAAGTCTTTAAATTGAGATTTAACCATTATCCTCAAAGTACTGACCTAGAGTGGCACGGAGTTTATGCTTAATTAAAATACGAGTAAAGTAGAAGTACCTATTTCTGTATCCTCATCAAAACAACTGTGTTGCTTAATTAAAATGGCACAGATATCTAACTATATTTTAATCAAATCTTTTCGTAAAACCCTTTCATCAATTTGGTGGATTTATTAACGCAAATCCCATTCTTCAATGAACGTACGTCTGCTTGTAAGGAGCATGCGTTTCGCGACGTCCTTCAAAAGCAAAAATGATGAAGTTTCCTTTCCTTAATAATTCCATTTGAAGTTTCCTTTCCTTAATAATTTCATTTCCCTCCCTCGGGCGAGATCCATGCCTACATAGGTGATGCTCTCCACAATTTTCCCCGCTCGCCGGGCCCCACGAGCAAACGTGACACGCGGCGACCTCCCACCACCCTAATCTTCCTGTTCCCTGTTCTCCCTCCCTTTTTCTGATCCGCGTGACCCCCCATCCGCCTCCCCCCAGCTGCTAAAATACGGAAATCCCTTCCATCCACAGGGCCACAGCGGTCGCTCGCTCTCTACCATTCGGGCTAACCTCAAAGCGCCCTCCGCTAACGGATTCTCATTCTTCAATTCTTCTTCTTGATCGAATCCTTTCTCGATCGCGATCGACTGATCGAATCGAAACGATCGCGCTCTCCGTTCGTCAACTCTCAATCGAACAAAAAAGCATGGCTTCTTCTCTCACCCACTGTCGCCCTCCCCCGCCGCCGTCGCGGGCACCCACCACCCTCCTCTCCTCCTCCTCCTCCTTCTTCTTCTTCTCGAGACCAGCCGCTGTCCCTCCGCCTCGCGCTCCCAAGGAAGCTGCGGGCGAGGGGGGTGCTGGTGCCCCGCCCAGATCTCCGCGTGACCACCCACCGCCGCCCCCTCCGCTCCCCCGACTCCGCCTCGTTCGACTTCAAGCGCTCATGGTCGACAAGGCCGCCGCCGTCAACCGCGCCCCTCGACGCCGCCGCCCCCTCCCCACCCGGAGGCGCATCCACGAGTCCATGCGCTACTCCCTCCTCGTCGCGGCAAGCGCGTCCGCCCCGTCCTATGCCTCGCAGCCTGCGAGCTTGTGGCGCGACGACTCCTCGCCCTCCCGCCGCCTGCCGCCCCGTCGAGCGATGATCCCACCATGTCCCTCATCCACGACGACCTCCCTGCATGGACGATCGACGACCTCCGCGCGGACAGCCCACCAACCACGTCGTCTACGGCGAGTACCATCGCCGTCCTCGCCGGCGACGCCCTCCTCGCCCTCTCTTTCCAAACCCTAGCCGTCCACCCCCGCCGTCCCCCGGCCAATCTCGTCCGCGCCGTCAACGAGCTCGCCCGCTGCACCGGCGCCGAAGGCCTCGTCGCGGCCAGGTCGTCGACATCAGTCCACGCGGCCTCGAGGAACCCGTCTAGCATCGATAGGCTCGAGTACATCCACCTCCACAAGACGCAGCCCTTCTCGAAGCCTCGGTCGTCATCGGGGCCATCGTCGTGTGGGACGACGACCCAGGCGTTCGAAAAGCTGAGGCGGTACGCCAAGTGCGTCGGCTTGCTGTTCCAGGTGGTGGACGACATCCTCGATGTGACGAAATCGTCGCAGGAGTTGGGGAAGACGGCGGGGAAAGACCTGGCCAGCGATAAGACCACGTATCCGAAGCTTTTGGGTCTGGACAAGTCGAGGGAGTTCGCGGAGGAGCTGCTGAGGGATGCGAAGGAGCAGCTTGCTGAGTTTGAGGAGGAAAAGGCTGCGCCGTTGCTGCACTTGGCAAACTACATTGCTTATCGACAGCAGTAGGCAGGCAGGATCAAAAAACAGGTTTAACTCCTCTGCTGTTGTCGTCGTCGTCGTGGTGGTTACTTCATTACATTGTTTGTTGTTATTTTATACGGTCTAATCTAATGTGTTCTGTGATAGATGGTGGTTTCAGGATTAATGTTGTTGTTGTTGATTAGCATAAAAAGTGTAATGTAATGAGCAGTTTGTCGGATATGTTTCAACGTCTACCCATATTAAGAATCATATAGTTTTGGGTACTAGTACTTAATAACATGTAGATATATAGTTTTTATTGTTCTTAAACTGATGTTTATGTATCATGTGCTCTGCCCTAGGCCTATGGAATCTTGTTCGGGACAATCGAGCGATCTAATCTCCTTCAGTCGGAATCTTTGATGTGTCTGTTAGATCAAAGTTTTAAGATTTGCAATGGCACAACTGAACTCATTGCAGTGGCAAGCTTGATATCAGTCTCTGCAGAATGTTAAAATATGTCGGTATAACAAGAAAGAATCTTTGTTCTCACCATCAAGTGGAGGTTTTACAAAATGCAGGGTCCATAGAGGCATGTTCTTCACCAAATACGAAAATCTAATGACGAACAAACTAAGTTTTGATGTCAGCAGGTTATATTCTGATTGAATGAAACTATTCATCCTCACCAGTACGGTTCATGCTTTCTCACCAACATCACATATCCCACACTATTATCACCAAATGCTAGATAATTGTTGTGTATTTCAATTGATTGCCTTTGCTTATGTAGTTATATTGCGTGGAAATAAACTGGACATAACATACTATGGAAACATGGAAAATTCAAAAATAAATACGCATGATGTGCAGCATAAAATGACCTCATGGTAGAAAGTAAGCAAGTAGACTGCTCTTTTAGTGTTTCACATCATCAAGGAGTGACAATTTTCCATTCGTGTTTGTCATCACGTTGAGGAGAAAGTTACCGGGTCTGACGTGGATAATTTAGTTTTCAATGGTTTTTATCTTAGAAATCATTGGCACGATAATGGAGATGAGATCAACTAATCCGCTTTCTCTGGCTCCTATATATGTTGTCAATGTGTGAATTACATTCTATTTATGAAACTTCTGCTTGTCAAACACATACCGCACATCTATTAGACACCACACTTATTGCTATACTATTGTTGTTTTGCATATGCTACTACAAGATTTATTCTATCGTGCCTTGCCAAGTTATATTCTTGGCCTGTTGGTGCTTCTGTTTCTGAGCAGAGGGTCGATGAAGAGCTCCAAAATCACTGGGCGTGGTACTCCACTGCACGTCGAACTTCATTATTTAGATATATTAAAAGGGAATGCTCATTTAACTAACTTAATTTGAGAATCAATAATCAAATAGTAACTAATTTTGCATGACATGGGGGCATTTTGAATTTGACACCTCTTTATCCGAAGGATCTGTTGTGCCTGTTATTTGGAAGATTAACTCGTGTTAACTGAAGGTTCTTTATGGGAAGATTTAAAGAAGCTTCATCCTAGGTTTGGCATGTTGAATTGTGCATCAACTTGGACAGGAGATTTGTTGGCCAGTTTAGTGGATTTAATGTAACCTGGTTATAGTTACTAAGCCTGGGTTTTCTATTGACCACGTGGCTAACTATCTAACTTTGACATAAGTTTAGTCATGTTAGTGCTGGAATTCCATATCCATGTAAGGACATATTGCTTAAGTCTCAGTACCAGGCGAAAGAATGTTTGTTTGGTATTTGCTTAGCGTTAGTTTTTTTCCTTTTCCTCTTTCTCTGCTATCATCTTCCTTTTCTTTTCACATGATTAACAGTTTTCATTTTGTTTAATTTGTTTGGAATTGGGATGCGGATTTATGATATGTAGTGCTTTGATACTGATCTTTTGTTTATATAATCTTTTTACGTTCCAACATAGTTCCCTAGAAAAGGTTGGCGCTTTGATTTTCTGAAGTCCCTTGAGAACTAAAGTTTTTTCACAAGTCCATTGAGACGTGAAATTAGCAGATTGTATCAAACTGGAGTTGGATGAAGACACTGTTACTCATGAGCAACAATCCTTTTTTACTGGGAGTTTTGTCTGACTGTGTGGATAAGGCTTGATTGATTACATCCAAGCTCTTACTATTTTGAGGTCTATTTTATAATCAGCACTTGGAACATATTTTGGATTATCAAGAAGCTGACTTCTTGCAATATTTTGTAAATATTTAGAGGCAAATTCAACTAAAGGGTATGGGCATCCAAGAAGAGTAACGATAACTTGCTTAAAGAGACCTTTCACTATGTGCATATTTCCCTGTCTTTTAGTAGTTTGATGATTATGATGTGGGAACTTGGATGTCAAGATAAATGCTTAAACAAAATATATCTATTCCTGACCTAATCCTTACTGAACTAAATTAGATCCTTCTTAATCTGTAGCTAGAGCATCTAACTTTCTTCTGTCTTTTGGAGTTAACTTTATGAGAAACGTGTTACATGTTGATTTCTGAACTACATACTACGACGCATTGAGATTTCATTTAAAATACACAAAATAAGTGTATCTGACATATGACATGAGACTACTTCATGGTAGAAACACTCATGCTATTGCTACATAGGTAACATAGATTGCTCCTTTAGTCTTTCGCATCATCAAGGAGTCGGGACCATTTTTCATTTTTGGAGTTTATCTTTAGTGTTTCACATCATTAAGGAAGTTTGCGACTATAGAACAATCTAACATATTTGAGGAGCTTGTCAGATAAATTATTTCTGAAAAGTACAAGCAATTGCTTTTCTTCTGTTACTATGTCATTCAACGACTTGAGGGAATTTAGAAGTGTCAATTACTGCTTTTATTCTTCTGTATTCACCCGAATGAACGTGAAGGGACTGATGTGCTTCACATTTGGTTATTCTATTTTTTATCTGATATGAAGAAATTGGAATATGGAAGGGTGTATTCCATCTTTTATCTGATATAAGCAATTGGGAATGCATAAGCTCATAATTTTTTAGATTATTGTTAGTTGGATGGTGTAGCAAATCTCACAGAAAGGAAGAGAAGTATCACAGAGAGGGTTTAGTGTTTCCGTAGATTCAATTTATATAAACATTCTTTTATGTTGTTATTTGTCTCTCGCATTCAATCAAACTAATATGAAGAAATATCTGAGAAAAATTATTGAGTTCAGTTGAAAGTAAAGCATGTTCATGATTTAATCTCATTTTGTTTAGGGAGAAGATTGGATGTATCTGCTAAGTAAGTTTTGATTCGGTTTAGCATCTTCCTGATTGGAAAACATATGGAATTCTGTTCACTTATTTCAATATGCAGATGAATGATATATGGTTAAACAAGCTTTTGGACCCCAAATTCTGTTTTTCCCTTTTGATAATTTATATTTCCATCTCAAATTTCTTGTTCTTATTGTATTTTACCTTACATCTAGGCCAGTGTATGAACAGAAGAAACAATAACAAAGTACATATTTGGCAAAGTCGTCTTATTTCTTTTGTTTCCCTTCTTTTCATCGTCACAATTGTGTTGTAACTTCTTCTTCTTATTGTTAGTGTTATTATTATTTTATTTTATTTTAAGAGAAATGTAAATTTAGTTATTGTTGCAGTTTTGAGAAACCCAGCATCTCTGAATCTCACTGAACTTTGAGAATTGGGAGTTCAAGTTCAAGCATAGTTGGACGGTCCCCCTGTATAATTGTATTATGACAGAAACATACATGAACCGATATGGGCAGCCAAAATTACATTACAGAACTTAGGAGAGGTTTGAGGAGCAGCAGAAATTATACCGCGTGGAGCTGTTGTCTTGGCTCTTTATAATTTTCTCTCGTTTGTTGCTAATATTTTCTGAGCAGATATCGGCACGTTTCAACAATATCTACTCAATAATAGAATTCAGTTCCTGTTGATCTCCAGAGGCTCTTGTTTAGGTGCAGGTCCTGCAGGAGCAGGTCTTTATATGTCCAGAGAAGTTGCAATAGTTTGTCAAATCCTAAATTCAAAATTTGATGTACGTGACATTCTACCATTTTGCTACTTTGAAGATTTGTTTTACATAACAATTTCTCAGCTGGATTAGTTTGAAGCTTCTTATTAGACATTGTTTACTATTTGTGTGCATATAGATTTAGTTGCATTGAATCAATCTGCCACAATGCAGTGATCTCATCAATATTATTACTCTTTTTGGCTTTTATGTACGTTGTATAAATATTTATAGGCCTCAATTCTTAGTAGATAATAGCGGTCTCCGTTCTTGTGTAGTCCATTCATTTTCTTACCTACTACATATTCTGAGATGAGATAATCTTCATATAATTGTTTGCAGGATTGTGGTATGAGATTCAAATTGTAGCTATAAAGCTTAGGTTTATTCAAGTGAATTATTGTGGCTTTTATAGAGCCATTACAAACAGAAGATAAGAGGAAATCGTAACCATGATTTACACAACTATATCATGGTTATTCTGAAGAAAGGATAATTCAAGATCTAAACTACTCCCTATAGATCAGGGATTATTAAACAGAAAGATAACAAGAATCAAATTCAAACTAACAAATCCATAGGATTTGATCTTCACATAACCAAAACTCCAACAAATCCTCCCTTAAACTGAACTGTGATCAAACAGTCAGTTTAATTCTTGAGCATTGCACATACCAAGCATATTCCTCAGCTTCAAGAACACGTCCAACTTCAGGGGCTTTTTCATGATGTCAGCTAGTTGATCTTCAGTGCCACAATGTATCAGCTCTATCACACCATCATTTGCCAGGTTTCGAAGAAAATGAAACCGAACATCTATGTGCTTACTTCTTCCGTGTAAAACAGGATTCTTCGAAAGTTTGATGGCGGAACTATTATCACAATAAATAACACACTTACTTTGTGTCACTCCAAGCTTCCCAAGCACTCGTTGCATCCACACACTCTGACATGCACAGGCAGCAGCCGCAATGAATTCAGCTTCGGTGGTAGATAATGACACCACTGGTTGCTTCTTAGAACTCCAAGCAACGACTCCACCACCCATCATAAAAACATAACCTGAGGTGCTTTTGCGGCTATCAAGATCCCCTGCATAATCACTGTCAGAATAAGCAATCAAATCTTCACTTTCTCTTCTTCTGTAAAACAGCCCCAGCTCGGTTGTCCCCTTCAAGTAACGAAGCACTCTCTTCACAGCTTGTTGATGCAAAACCGTAGGAGCCTCCATAAACCGAGCTACTAAACACACCAC